CTAGTCATACTTTCTGTGGAGGATGCTTGACATTGGTGCAATAGGTGGACAGGGCGTTGTAGGAGGGGAACTGTGACCAGTCAAACTCTGTGGGATAGTCTGGTGACCGTTGCACACACGTGACGTGAAAGGCCACTACACATTGTCCGTAGTCGCATTGCTTGCAGGCCTGTATTGGGCAACGCAGATGTAGACAGAAGCAAGTGAATTAGGTGAACAGTGGTTAATGTGAGAGAGTGTATATGAAGGTTGCCACACACCGCCTGTGATCGCAGTACGTACAAGTCTGTATGGTAACGCATCGGTGGAAGGGAGGTAAAACAATTGGCTTGGGACTATGCTCGATGCCAGGAAATGTGTAATAACGCCATTCATAAGTTTATTCTATCCCTGTACTTGTACTCATAAGTGTATTCTATCCCTGAACTCGTACGCTACGTGTACCGATGTGAAGCAACTGAGTCTAAGCTACAACTATTCGTATTTGACCGAAGTAGCCAGCAAATTTTTGAAAGTAAAAGGGGCTGTGTGACGAGTGAACGGGATCATACTCTACTATGTGATTGGCTATAGGTACACGGGAGTGGTACTATGGGTGTCTTTCCTCGCCCAATCACGCAGAGGATGTCTGTGCGTCCATACTATGATATATGTACCTCATGTGAATACAACTACGACAATTCAAATGTAATCTTAGACCGTTTATGAAACGACTATGCATCTCGAACCATCCAGACCTACTTCGAAAACAGTATACACACAACTACGCATATCGGGCATACAGACATACACCTCAAGCGAAGGCCATACACTCCACTCATGTCAATCACATGCTACATAGACGAATATCGCGTAAAATGTCAGTAGTATAATGTCACACATAGCTACAAACCTCTCCACCTGGCGATCGTACAACTTTTACTACCATCGAAGCACAACACCCATCTATTAGTTTACATTTCGGTACATATACAGGGGCGAGACATGCTCATACACGTGCGAATTCTCATACGTATGTATCATGGAAAGAAAGAAAGAAAGAAAGAACGTACCGTTTTGGCGACCTTCTTCTTCCCCGCGGCCGTACCCATGCTTTGTGCGCAGATCTTACATTTCTGAATTGTGTATATTTAGGATGGAGTGTATGAGCGAGTGGCGGAAGGGGGATCGAGTAGTTGTTAAGTCATCATACGCCACTACTACATGCATACACTTGGATCTCACTAAGGTGCAGGATTGCAATCAAGATCTGGGTAGAGATTTGCCTACATAGGCTTCGCCACCCAGGAAAGAACACATATACACTAGCATACGCTAACATACGAAACCATTTACACTGCACATTTGCCATACAACACAGATCGCTTGTTATGGTGGGTTCATACGTATATACATATACACTAGCATACGCTAACATCCGAGACCATTCACACTGCACATTTGCCATACAACACAGATCGGTTGTAAAGGTGGGCAGGCTGTTCGCCTACCGAATACAAATGTCAACTGACACGAACAACCTTTTAACACCCAATTGGACTTGTGTACATATCTGCCTGCGAAGGAGTAACTTGTACTTACCAAACTTTTACGAGATGCTGGTATCTTGTCCAGCATAATCGGCTCTTTCAGCACCGGTCTTCGGCTTGGAAACCCTACCCCATCTCTCCAGCCTGTGGAAGTCGTTTAAATCGTTCAAGGCCAAAATACATGTCTGGTTAGTGCGGCACAAAGGTTGAAGTCAGACACACCGTCTTCAAGCTTTTGAAGTTGATCGGAAAGTGTAGGCCCAATTTAAATACATATCTGATGCATTCGGCTAAAAAGTTCAAACCAGCCGTGCAGTCTTTTGTCAAAACGGAAATATGCTCGTATTTCAAAATACACATTTACCCCATGAGGCGTTTTCCAGTGTCATATTTGATAGCGTGTACGTGTAGATACTTGGGTTTGTCTCATTACCTGACTATACCTAAATGGAGATGAACCCGATAGAACTACCCCTAACGCAGTTGCCGTAGAACTCGCACGCCGCCTATCTAATTGGCTACTTGTGTTCACGGGGCATGTATACCCGACTGTGACCTTATAACAAATCGTATGTGAAGTGCAAAGATGCAAAGACAACTGCGTGTCATCGGTTCGGTTGGCTCGTACGGCTACTGAAACCATGCGCCGCTCGCGTTGTATGCTGATAGAAGATATGCCATGGATGCGACGGACATTCCTAGAATAATCAAACCAACGCAAACACACGCACACGCACACACGCACATACACATGCACATGCATAGGCACATGTACACGCATACGCACACACCACCACATACACATACACGTCTACCGCAAACAACTACCAGGATCCATACCCTGAAAGTAGGACTCGTAGATAAACAGCGCACACGCCGTGTGCACCCACTTGTTCTTGCCCGCACTCATGAAGGCTCCCCCTTGCTGCGGACACAGCTCACAGTTGACGGCCAGCTTATCACCCTGTTGGTATTCCAGTGTGGCACACAAACTGCATCTCCACTCTGAGGGGTTGTCGATGCTCTGGATGCCGTAGCAAGTCACGTGCACAGCCACGCGACAGTCACAGCATTGTACCACGGCTACACCTCTCACGCCCAGCTCTCCCTTCTCGTGGGATAAGGGACGCGTGCTAGGGGTGGATGCGGGTTCTGTTGATTGAGTGGGTAGGGTGGTTTGTGTCAAGCAAGTATGTGTTATTGCTGGTGTATATACGGGTGTAGTGGGTTAGTAGATCCGATTTTGAAGACTTTTGTATGTAGCTGTATGTGTACTCGTATATTCATATCGTCGTTATTGATGTTAAAGTTGGAAACTTATGCAAAACAAAATGAATACAACACAAAACCGGATAAATATATGTACAATGAACGTCTGTATAAATAAATATATATGTATATGTATAAACATGTACATATACATATACATTTGTAT